CTCTCTCTCTCTCTCTCTCTCTCTCTCTCTCTCTCTGTCTGTCTCAGAATAAAACGACTGTATTTCTGTCTGTGGAGCTGAACTAGAGAGAGGGAAGCTTAGCAAGGTGCAGATGGATGCACAGTAGGATCTCAGTTGGCAATGAGTTCATAGGCAATAAACACAACCAGGAACAGCTTTAGAGAACTGGTTTGTTTATGGGGTAGGGAGGGAAAAAGGGGTATTTATGCCCCTGGGGAGGTGGCCAGGGTCTCTGGGGCCAGGTTTTTGTGGATGTGTACAATGGGCCAGGGTAGGGGTGTTGGAAGATATTTCATCTACATACTCAGGGGCTGTAGGATCCTGGGGAGCTTGGGGGGAGAACCTTATAAGGTCAAACGGGAAGTGATGACTTATAACTGTCAGCCACTATGGTTCAACATCTGCCTACAGTGATTATCATTTATTAAAATATTTATTTGAAAAAAAGAAAAAGATTTAAAAGATCAAGATGGTTCCAAAAGCCTTGTCACCTGTTTGATCCCTGGAGTCCAAGACAGAAAGAGGTTATAGACACCTAAAAGCTTTCCTCTATCCAAACACACCCCAGCACTCAAGCAGGTGTGACTAAGGAATGCCATCATTTCCTGAGTCCTGCTCAGTGCTCTAGCACCAACCCTCTCCCCCAAAAGGTCACTTGTGCTGCAATACACTTGAGATTTTCTTGACCTTGACCATGATCCAAATGTGCTAACCAGAATCATCAATGTTTACACAAACTTAACATAAATGCAGATAACTGAAAAATGCATAAGTCAAACATAACTGTCATGTTCTATCTGAAACAATTACTATGTTCTTCCAGAAACAAACATTTCAAGACTACTCTGACCCTCATCTAACTTTGCTGTGAGGTATGACCTTTGTAGTTTTTGCCTTGTAGGCTAAACCCCTGAGTCTTGGCACCAAGACACATGGAAGCATCATTACCAGCTAATGGAGGACTCACATGCTTTCAATTGGCTTAATCAGTATGGTCATCTGCACCTTTCTTAGTTCTGAAGACCCCCGCAGAGCAAAGACCCTCACTCAAGTCTCGGGATGTCAAGGCCACCCAGTAAATCACTCAAGACACTGTAAGCTGGAGCAATGAGCCAAGGTTTAATCGAGAGAAAAGACAGCTAGCTGTTGGTCAATTCGTATGCCCACGCAGGAGCTGAATTGACAACGACTGACTGGTTGAGGGGCTTCTTAAAGGAAAAAACCGGAACCCGGGGGGTTAGGGGGTATTGTTGGGGAATTCTAACAAAAAGTACCGGTGGAAAGTACCTGTTCATAATTCAGCATATGACAAGGTTCAAGAATCAGTCATGTGGGAAACAGAACCCAATTTTATATAACCATCTGTTTTGTGGTCAGCTTTGTGGTCGGCTTGTTCCTGGAACATAGAGCCCATGAACTAGCTAACCTGTTCTCTTTTTTTTGGCTCCGTTCTGTCTGTAGTCTGTTAGGGGTAAAATATTTTCTATTCTTTCTTATCTTGAGGAAAATTTCTAAGTCCTTGAGGAATCTATGTATACTTTTCCATGTCCTTTTAAAATCTAAAGAGTATCATGTATATATCTAAAATAAATCCTACAAACTTAATATAATCTCTATAATTTTCACTCTACAGTTCATTTATTTCAATTCCACATACATTAGTAATAAATAAAACAGGTAGGATATGTAAGACTCTTGCAAGCCTCAGCTTACCGGAGACCCCCTCAGTGAACCACGAGGAGATGTGAATCCATGCAAAAAGCAAGAGAAACTTTAATGATCCAATGCATTGGGGTCGTCCTGGACCAAAGGTGGAGTAGCGTCCCCAAGCAGCCCATTTGGTCAGTTTTTATACAGCTTAAGGGGTGAACTAGAGAAACAGTAACTAGGCACAATATTATTGGCGAACACTGTGATTTTTAAACTGATTGGTCTTTAGGGAATAGGGTAGCAGAGATCTCCCTTGTTTCCAGGTGGCAAGGGTTGGTCCGTCCTGTGGAATATGTCACTGTACTCTGGGCCTTCTGAAGACCTCCGCAGAGGGGAGACCCTCACTCAAGTCTCAGAAAGTCGCGACCACCCAGTAATCTGCTCGAGACACTGTGAACCGGAGCAATAGCGAGGTTTATTCGGGCATGTGACAGCTAGCTGCCAGTCAATTCGTATGCCCACGCAGGAGCTGAATTGACCCCGACAGCCAGTTTGAGAGGGGTTTTTAAGGGG